GAAGAATCGACATGGACCATGAGGGAGATAAATACCCAGGGCTTTGCCATAAATCTATATCATAATGAAATATATGACTATATTTAAAATTCGGTTTTAGGTATCTTGCCATGGTCGCTATGTGAAGTTTCAATTCTCGTTCAAGCTTCAATAGCACATCACGTGCTTTAGCTTTAAACATACCCGAGACCCATTCGCACTTAGAAAGAGCAGCTCACTTTGAATTTTCCTATACAAGATCTTTTCTTAAATCTCATATTTCAGAGTGGCGTATGGCAGCGGTATGAATTTGCTCGAGCAATGTCTCACAAGGTAAGTATTAGTTTATCTTTTTTTTATCAGAAACGAAAAATCCTCGTCATGGCCCCACACAACAAGTCCCGCCAAACTCTCACGAAGTTGATGAGATCTGGACTTCAAAAATAGCCGCTTCGATCATGAGGGGTAAAAAAAAAGCAACACGGAAAACCAACTGCAAAACGGGAAAGAAAAGTCACTGACATTTGCTTTTTTTTTGAATAGGCGGCACTTCGCGGCCGACTCTATCGTGAATATGTGTTAAGTCCTATCACAGCCCTCGCGTTTTTGACGCTGGGCGAGGGGCAATACCTACTCGCAGCTGAAGACACAGATATAAGAGTCTACGACGTCGCGACGTACCGACTTTGCGGCACACTTCCCATCTTTCGCGCACAGCCGATCCACGGGATATCTGTGGCCCCGGGTGCCGAGTACAAGAGTGGCAGGGGTAGCACTGTCGGAAAGGGTCCTGAGATCCTCGTCTGGGGTAGCAATGTCGTTAAAGTACTCCCTAGTCGCATCATTCAGGAGCTGGTCTCTGCAGACTCCGCGGAAGTTAACGATGGTTCGCCCCGCAACACTTTTGAGATATCTAGATTGCTGGAGTCTATACCTGAAGCTATAGCTCCAGACTGGATATTCGACGGCCGCATCTCGCCCTTCGATGATAGTCATATCGTTATCCTCACGGCGCACAATGAGGTCATCCAAGGCCACGTGAGTGCGGATGGGAAGACGCTCGCGCTAGGCCGAGTACAATCACCTTCACGACCCATCTTGTACTCGGGAAACTTCTTCTGGGTTGAGCGAGACTGTGTGTTCGTTGCTGCAGGGACCGTATTCGGCGAGATCGTAGTCTGGAAATGTCATCTTACCTCTAATGCCGATATAAACGATAGCGATCAGCACGCTGGAGCAGATGGCGCGCAAGAAAGGAGAGAAACCTTCGGGTGCCAAGTCTTATTCATATTCTCAGGTCACGAAGGCTCGATCTTCGGTGTTCACATCTCGCCTGAGATACAAACAAGTACGGGGGAAACAATCAGACTGCTCGCGAGCTGTAGCGATGACAGAACAGTTCGTATTTGGGATATCACCGAACGAAGTGATGGGTCTACGAATGAAGACCAGAACTACGAGTCACAAATCTCCGATGCAAGACAAACTGGGTTTGGTGACTCTATCATTGGCTCAGTAGGGCTACCCGACAGGTCTTCCAGATGTATCGCAATGGCTATGGGTCATATATCCAGGATATGGCAAGTTGAGATTAACGGCCTAAGTCCCCTTTCAAACGATCATCCGATTGAAGTTTATTCATTTGGAGAGGACGCTACGATACAAAGGTGGTATCTTGAACTGAATACCGAACAGTCAGCCATTCCAAATACATCAAAGATAGGGGTATCAAACAGCCCAGCTCAACTGCTTTCCAGATTAACGCACAACGAGACTTTCTCGAACCATAGTGGGAAGCACGTCTGGTCGCACGCTATGACCGTTGATCAGAATGGCCTTCTGATAGCTACTGGCGGCGGAGATGGTAAAATAGCACTAATGGAGAATGTCTCGGCTTGTGCATCAAGGGTCATCGGATACGCAGATGATGGGAAGGGCCATCACCCAAAGTTCATCCAAGAACTTGATATATCTCCGACATATCTTATCGAAAAATGCGAAGATCAAGGCCTTGCAGTCCCCACTTCGATCTCTTCTTTTAAACATGGAAACGGAAAAGAGATGTTCCAAAGCTTCTCTTTTATCACAGGCGACAGATTACTCATCACCACAAGGTCGGGGCGTCTTTTCTTAGGCACCTTCAACGATGAGACAGAATGGAAAGAGCTCGCAATCTCTGATACAATCCGTATGACCATACAATCATATACTATCCTAAGAAGCTCTAGAAGAGCCTCAACGTCCTTTATTGGCGCTCCTAACGGGGAACTGTTCTACTATCACGCGGCCAGCGGTGACTCTCTGCGGTCACTTTATAAAGCAAAACGAAAAATCATAGATATTATTTGCCTTTCCGATACTTGGATTTCATCTCCTCCTACATGCGGTCAATCCGAGGGAAATGGCGATGACTACATCGACATCCTCGTCATTGTCTTCGGCAGCACCAAAGCGGAGCTTCTTCGTCTTAACCAAAGCCACGACATAGTACTGCAAGCAGAGGTAAACACGCCTGATGGGTTCATCGTGACAACTGCCGCGTGGTGCCACAACTACCTTATTCTTGGGTCTAGACACGGGAACATTTCAACATCTGCATTGACTACAGACGGGTTTTATGCTCCTCTCCTGACAATAGAAGTTAAGATTGGCGACAAGATCACCTCCATTCTTCCTCTACCCAAACAATCAGAAACTTCTCCTCTTTATTTCCTTACGACTGCTCGCGATGGTAAATACAGAATATACGAGATCTTTGGTACGGCGAACAACACCGAAGTCCGTCTTCTGCACGAGACAAAGTCAACAATCGGGACCATGGTGGAAGGATCCTGGCTCTTCGACAGAGGTGACGGAAAGCACGATCTCCTGCTCTACGGGTTCCGAAGCAAATACTTCGTCATCTGGAACGTGACGCAGCAGAACGAGGTCGCGGCGATCGACTGCGGCGGCGGACACCGCGTCTTTGACCAGGTGCAGATAAGTGGCAATCCCGATGGGTTCCGGTTCGCCTGCACCAAGGCATCACAGATGAAAATCTTCTCGCAGACTCGCGCAACCCATCTGCCGCTGAAGACTGGCGGACATGGCCGCGAGATCAAGGCCGTATCGGTCGCACCGGGTAAGTATGTGGCTACGGGTGCCGAGGACACCGTAATTCGTATTTGGGATCTAGGCGAAGGAGATCATGGAGGAAAAGAGCAGCTCCGATGCCTGCTTGCCCTGGAAAAGCACAATACAGGCATCCAGAAGCTGAAGTGGTATAAAGATCAGTATCTATTCAGCAGTGGCGGCAACGAGGAGTTTTACGTTTGGCGCGTCACGGCTCTGGAAAGCGACATCTGCCCACTCGGTGTCGTTTGCGAGGCCGTATTTCCCGATCGCTCTGAGGTTGGCGATTTGCGGATTACAGACTTTGATGTACGGTGCTTGAATGACGAGGTAAACACTGATGAGGAAGACACTGCCCGGAAGTCGAGTGGATCTCAGCCCGAGCTGGAATTTTGCATTACGATGACGCTCTCAAACTCTACGGTGCAGAGCTACCTCTACTCTTCGCAGCGTGGATTTCAGCTGCAGGGCCGGCGCATGTATACGGGCGCATGTCTCACGCAGCTTAGACATCTGAATTTCGCGGATCGATGCCACCCACAAGTCCTAACAGCCGCGACTGATGGCCACTTAGCTGTCTTCCCACATGTGCAGGCTTCCGGTAACGAGACCGAGGATTCGACGGATATACTTGTGACGAAGCTCCACCAAAGCACCATCAAATCACTAGATATGCGCAGCATCACCACCGAAATCGGGGTCTCGTACCTAGTTGTCACGGGCGGTGACGATGATGCGATCGGGGTTTTGCATTTATTCTATCCCCGTTTACCTCCAGCCACCAAGCCAATTTCTGCAAAAGATATAGCTGGAGGCTCCGATTCTATAGTGAATCCAACCCCCTTATCACACCAATCTCCACTCCCAGAATCATCTTCAGAGCAAACTCAAATAAAGCAAAGCCAGAAGCCATCCCGATACGAAGTCCGCAGCAAATCCATCGTTCGCTCCGCGCATGCCGCCGCAGTGACAGGGATAGGAATAGTGCGGCTAGAAAACGAAGGGCGGGATGCGGTGATCGCAACCACAAGCAACGACCAGCGCGTCAAGATATGGCGGCTTGTAGACTGGAGGTCAGCTTCTCTAAAGGTGCATTTGCTCGACGATGTGTACAGCGGCGTCGCAGACGCAGGGGATTTGGAGGTTGTGCATGGAGATGGACCACAAGAGACGAGAAAAGCGGCGAGAGTCTTGGTTGCTGGCGTTGGTATCGAGGCTTGGGGGGTATCTTGACCATAGACAGAGACTTGCTAGATGTTCCGTTGCAAAGCGGAATAGGGGTAAAAGGTTCGCTGTATCCTTAGCCAGATCATAGAATCAGACATGTGGTTTACGCTTGTTGTTTATATCGAACCATACTGAAGCATGAACTGTTGTCGCCCCATTTACCACTACAAAACTAGAAATTCAGTTCGGGATATAAAAGGTGCTGGAGTCGGGGCGGATGCAGTATTACTAGGTCACAGCAGTTCGACCTCCTTAAAGGCTATGACGCTAATGGGGAATCTGATTGGGTTTTGTGTTTCTGTTTTCATTATCAGAAACGGGTGTGCTAGTAGTGCTCATCGGCATGAGAAATAAGGTTGAAAAGGGGCTTGATGGAACGACTGCCATACTAGTACAGGCGAGTCCTGGTTGTCGTATTCATGGTACGAGGTAAGTAGGCGAGAGGTAAGAGTTGGTAGTAATCATATTATATCTTCAAATCCGTTTACTTAACCAAGCTTCTTGTTTCTCTGTAGTTTCCTCCCACCCCACCCCAACTCCACCTTTCAGTAACAACAAATTTATTTTGTTGATGGATAGGATAGTGAAAAGCTAGCTGGCTCTGACTTTTGATAACCAATAATATATAAGACCCGAAAACGACATCGTGAATCAACTAAACAACATACAATCAAACTTCAGATGTTCTCGTGGCCTAGTGGTTATGGCGCATGTCTTACATAAAAGCCCTTCTGAGTAAGGTGAATATAGGATCACATGAGATCCCCGGTTCGATCCCGGGCGAGAACAGACTATAATTGTCTTTTTACTTCAAACCACAGACAGATTGTCTCCTACAATCTATCAATCTTCTTTTCTCTCTTAAGTCAATATGCCCTTTACCTTTTGCAAATAATACTACCTAGGTACTTATCTATTGTAGCAATTATATAAGTATGCATTTGTTTCATTTATTGCACGCACTGGTTTCTAAAATGTGGGGTATATGATCTACCAGATTTATAGCTGATCCGCTTCACGCCGCTCCCAGAAAGCTATCATCACACCTAAGATAGAATCGCAAAATGAGTAACGCGGCAGCCCGTAGCTTGTTACAACATGGAGTTCTACGGCCTCGAATAGGCAGAATGTATGGTCCTCCAATTGACCCTTCAAGTATCCTCGCTGACGGTTTTAACAGTAACTACGATATAGCACGGGCCACAACTCCAACTCCCTACAGGTCGATATGCCAGCGCTGTGAGCAGCGACCACTCTCGGCTTCTTCAAGCCTCAGACCATCCTCAATGCCCTTGAGCGGTCTACGAAGCCTCCACACTTCTTCCGCTTTGTCCAAGAAGAAGAAAGAAGAGGCACAGAACCGCAGCACCAACGGCCGCGGTAAATCCGCCGACAAATCGTCGGAGAAAGCCACCGACAGCGCAGCAGACGACGGTCCGAAACATCCCCAGCCCTCTCCCGACGAACCCCTCAACTTCGCCGATGTCGAATCCCGTCTGGGCAAGAACGCCGAGCACTACAAAGCAGTGCTGAAGCAGCAGAGCGGGGCCAAGTTCGACGCGGACGTGATCGGGGCGCTACGCGTGACGACGGACAAGAAGACGGGGGAGACATACCCGCTGCGTGAGCTGGCGCAGGTGGTGCCCCGCGGCGGGCGCGCCGTGTCGCTGCTGGTGCACGAGGCCAACTACGTGAAGCCCATCATGAGCGCGGTGCAGGCGAGCCCGCAATTCAACCAGCAGCCGCAGCGCGACGCGGACAACGAGCTGGAGCTCATCCTCAAGATCGAGCCCGAGAAGCGCGAGGACGTCGTCAAGAGGGTCAAGGGCGCCGCGCACGATTGGCGCGAGCGCGTGCGCGCTGTCCGCCAGAAGCGGGATAAGCTGCATGTCACGTGGAGGAAGGACGGCGCCGTCGGGCCCGATCTGAAGAGGACGGTTGATAAGGAGCTGGAGAAGATTATCAAGAGTGCTATTGCTGAAGTCGATGAGGCTGAGAAGAGCGCTCTTAAGGCATTCCAGTAGAATTTGGGCGGTATGCTGGGGTCGTTATACACATCCTAGAAGACATATTGACATAAACCTCTCGCTTGCATAGAGGTAGCACTGTTTGTCGTTTGGGGAAATAATCTTGCGCCAAAAGCGAAGATGTGAACTAAATGCCAGTGTTGAGATACATGTACATTATTTTCATAAGGTTGCTCTTCTTCTACAAGATCGGTATGATACAGTGAGCGCTAGAGTTGAAACTGACGGTTCTCTGAAGCCGTGTCTCCTCGGCATCTGTCTTTCCCACCTCTTCAGTATCCGTAGTCTTCAAAGGCTTTGGCTCATTTCTAAGCACCTTTCTTCGCCTCGCCAGCAGCCGTCACAGGTCCCGTCCTCCCACCGGGCAGCAAGCTCCTGATCTTCTCCTCGATTCGTCTCTCTGCATCCGCATTCCACGAGGCGTCCCTCTTGACATAATTCCGCACAGAGCCAAGTGTGTCCTTCGCGTCGGTGTACTGAGGGCCCTGGTACGTACCCAGCAGCGCACTCTGCAGAACCGCATCCTTAGTCTCCTTGGGCACAGGCGGGAAAGCCTCTAGACCCATCGTGTCCGCCGCGCGTTTCTTCATCTCCTCGGTCGGGAAGAACACGCCGCTGCCGTCCTTGTACTGCTTCCACATCTCGTCCGAGCCGGTAAAGTTGAGCGGGTGGAACGGCTGGCCGCCGCCGAGAATGCGCGCCTGGCGCATGACCGTGTCGTCTTTGGCCATGCGCGAGCCGGCCGTCGCTACCGCTGGGCCCCAGCCGACGAGGTCCGCAAGCGAGATCGAGGGGTCGAATTCTTGCACCGAGCCGAGCTCTTTCGCCTCGCGCATCGCGAGCACCGCGGGGGATTCCTCGTCTTCCTCGGGGCCCTCCTTCTCGTATCTCTCTTTATTGTCTCGTCGGCGCCGTCCTCTGCCCTCACCGTCACCGTCACCGTCGCCCTCTCTTCTGGAGCCACGCGGGCGACCACGTCCACCGCGCAGCCCCCCTGCTCCGCCTCGGCCACCGAAACCACCTCTGCCTCTGAAACCGCCGCGGATGATGTTGGGACCGCGCGGGGAAGCGGCTCTGGGGATTGAGATGGAGCTGGCGTCGGACCGGAAGTCGAGCTTCTTGAAGACTGTGTTCTCCCTTGGGGGCTGCGATGTGTTACTGTTGTTCATTTCGACGAGGTCGGAGAAGGCTGCGGCGGCGCGTTGCCTTCCGGTCGGCCGCGGGCTGCTGCCGCCATTGCTGCTTCTGTCGTTGTCCACGGCGAGTTGCTGGACGGTGGAGAATGCACGTAAAGACGCGGCGATGCCATCTGTGACTCGGCTGAGATCACTCCTCGTGCGGCCAACGGCCGAGTGTAATGGTTGGCGTATCATTGGGCTCAACTGAAGTGGTTTGGGATATTGGCTAACGTCTTGACTTCCCTAGTCCGAAATTTTGAGGACTCGACACAGCTCGGATAAGTGCCCAAGCTCTGGTGGCATGCTCCAAATTCAGAATATGCTATTAAAGGGGAGATCGTCTTATCAAGGAACAGGGGCACTGACTACTTAGGTACCTAAGGTATTAGGTAATCAACTCATGGCCTCTTATATATATACCTATATATTAAAAAACATTTTTACCATTAGTAATAGCTAATAGCTATCAATTAAAGAGATATTATACTGATTACCTATCCAGTGTTATTGGGCCTGAACCTAACGGTTATGTTTGTTTTGAATTGTTTTTGTATTTTGAAATCTCGACGACCTACTGAATCCTGCAAGTTTTAGCATGGCGCCTCCGACTAACACAAAACCCCCTTCTAACCCACAAGTATGCGACGACTTATTTTTGGCTCTGCAGCGCCTTGCCCATACCGCCGTAGGTTATCGTCTTGATATGCTGATACTCCTCTATGCCATACCTGGACCCTTCTCTGCCGAACCCAGACTGCTTAACGCCTCCAAATGGCGCGGCTGCGTCGGAAATAAGACCCGTATTGACGCCTATCATGCCAACCTCTAATGTTTCCGCCACCCTGTGTATCCTCTCCAGATCTCTCGAGAAAAAGTAGCCGGCCAATCCTACCTCGGCTTCGTTCGCTAGGTCCACGACTTCTTGCTCCGTATCAAATGGGAAGAGACCGGCAACGGGCCCAAATGTCTCTTCACACGCGATTGCCATGTCTTTCGTCATGCCCGTGATCACGGTAGGTTGGAAGAAGTTCGAGCCGAGATCCGGCAGCTTCTGGCCTCCCACGACCACCTTTCCACCTTTCTTCTCGGCATCCCTTACGTGTGCCTCGACCTTGGAGACGGCGCGGTCGTGGATCAGAGGGCCGTGGGTAACGCCCTCGTCAAATCCATGTCCCACCCTGAAGCCCTTGACAACTTCGGCGAATTTCTTCGAGAACACATCGTAGATACCTTTCTGGACGTAAATGCGGTTTGCACAGACACACGTCTGGCCAGAGGAACGGAATTTAGACGCGATGGCACCCGCAACCGCAGCGTCAACATCGGCATCGTCAAATACGATGAACGGTGCGTTTCCGCCTAGTTCCATCGACAAAACTTTCAGGCTCGATGAAGCCTGCTTCATCAAGAGTTTTCCCACTCCTGTAGAGCCTGTGAACGAGATCTTCTGGATAGTAGGGTGAGTCGTCAAGGTCTCGCCGACCTCGGGGGTCTTGTGGAGAGAGGTCACAACGTTCACGACGCCCTTGGGTATCCCAGCACGGTGTGCAAGCTCCGCCAACGCTAATGATGTGAAAGGCGTCTCGCCAGGCGCCTTGCACACTGTTGTACAGCCCGCGGCGAGGGCCGGGCCAATTTTACGTGTGATCATCGCAGCAGGGAAGTTCCACGGTGTGATCAGCCCACAGACGCCCACAGGCTGCTTCAGCGTCACGACTCTGTTGCCAGGCACAGAAGCCGGTATCGTATCGCCGTAGATTCGCGGGGCCTCTTCGCTGAACCATTCAAAGAACTGCGCAGCATAGTTGACCTCGCCCTTTGCATCCGCGAAAGGTTTGCCGTTCTCTAACGTGATGAGCTTTGCCAAATCCTCCGAGTTCTCCGTTACTAGGTCGTACCATTTCCGCAACAACTTGGACCGCTCTCGACCAGTCTTCGTGCGAAATGACTTGAACGCCTCGCTTGCCGCTGCTATCGCCTTTTCGGTGTCCTTGCCGTCGAACTCGGGGCAAGTTCCCACGAGCTCTCCCGTCGCAGGGTCATGGACCTCAAAGGTCTTGCCTGAAGCGGCTTTTACCCACTCGCCATTTACGTAGCAGACATCCGTTTTAAATAACGACAGATCGTTGAGCTGAATTGTTAGATTCGAGGCCATTCTCGATGTTACTAGTGGAAGACTAGTTTTCTGGAACCGCGATCGGATGACGAGTCGTGCGGATGATGCTGCGCTCTTACGGAGAGAGTGTATGAGTGTCATGATGACCGATTGCCGCAACGATGAACCGCACTGATTATGGAATATAATGGGATTTCAGAGGCGGAAATATTTAAATCGGTCTGGCTGTTTGTTCGTTTCTGAAGCTCGAATAAGCTTGCCAATAGCGTCAATGACGTTTATAAACCGCAAGAGATCGGCTATACCTACTTGAACAGGCAGGGGCAGCATGGGATAGTTATCGTACTAAAAGCGCCCGCATGCAAGCCCCGCGTCCCTAATCCACCTACCTAGGGACCTAAGCTATGCCTAACAAGGCTTGATTAAGCGTTAAGCCAACCATCCTCACTCAACCAACTGTTACTTTTA